AGAGAGAGAGAGAGAGAGGAACTGATTATGAACACACCTCTTACTTTTGTTGCAGGGTCCTTCTCGAGTCAAGATCAGCGATATAAGTTTCAAGAACATTAGAGGAACGACTGCTTCAGAAGTTGCAGTGAATCTCTTGTGCCGTGAGGCTTTCCCATGCGACAATGTCAAGCTTGATGGTATTAAATTGGAGTACAAGGGAAAGGGGGAAACTTCGATTGCCTCATGTACCAATGTGAAGGGGATCTCTGCTGGAGTACAAATGCCACCAACTTGCCTCTAGAATCCATCTTCTCTCTCTTTCATCACTGGTGTTTAAGATGCTGCATTGTCTTCCTCAGCTTGATGGGTTCCCTTATTTGGCCGATGGCTTCCCTTGCTTGGGGCATTGGCATGTACACATCATGATATGATCAAAATTGAGTGTTTTTATGCAGTGCAAAATTGTGTCTGGCAGGCTTGCTATCAGATTCTTGAAAATGAAATAATGTGAATTTACCAAATGCAGTATATTTTGTTTCTATGAGAGAAACTGAGTTTCTTTGTTTTCAATAAAAACAGCAGCTGATTCTGAAAAGCACTTTCACTCTTCCAAAATTCTCTACCAAAATGGATGGGGCACTATTCAGACAGGTCCTTGATAATAAAGGAGGCAGCAAGAAATGGATAACGGTAGACCAGCAGGTCCACAAGATCCCAACAAATTCTCAGTTTGCCAGGGGTTAAAAACCAATGAATTTCTTCCATTAGGAAAAATTTGAAAACAATGACTCTTTAGTGTTTAGTCTTTATAAAAGCTCAAGGAAATGGAGCATAACCAATATCATATTGTTCACTAAATGAGCGAATTCGAAAATTTTGAAAACAATGACTCTTTAGTGTTTAGTCTTTATAAAAGCTCAAGGAAATGGAGCATAACCAATATCATATTGTTCACTAAATGAGCGAATTCGAATGGCATAAAAATACTCTAATCCTAGAGGCAACAAGATCATTTGCAGTACTTGTAGTGCCTATTTTTCATATATTACGCATGCCAATGAGATCAAATTTTGTCTTTCTGAATATTGGCGTGTGACCTCAGGATTGACGTTTAAAAAAAAGGGTATCGTTTGCATAAAGTTGCAACCTTAAAGCTGCACCTCCAAAATTTAGCATAAGATGCAATGTTTATGTGAATTTTTTTTAAGATGGCTTGAAAATCTATTTTTATCTCTAATTAGGAAATTTTAAACTCCAAAAATGGTTCAAATCATAAATACATGAAAATTTTGAAAATAGATGGTTCGGATAATGTGTTGCAAGATTCATTATTTTTTGGAATATATATATATATATATATCTCCTCACATCTTGATGTCAAGATGATCAAGTAGAGGAATTTCCAATATCAAAACAGCCTTTTTTTCATAGATGTTTGAGGTGCACCTTAATTCTAATTCTAGAGTTTAAAGTTGCAACAACTTTTTTCCTTAAAATAAAAAAGAAAATGTCCTCCCAACAATGTTGTCTTTTTCTTTTATTTTATAAAATATTTATAAAGAGCATTCCAAATTAATCTAAAAAATCTGGCAATTCTAAAAAATTCAATGAAAATTAATTAAACAGGCTTCATCTTTAGATTTAAGGGTACATATTCTACTCGCTTGGTCAGGAGACCTACTGGGAGGATTTTTTCAATATGAGAATTTGGGAACCACCTAAGGATTACTAGATAATTGTTCTAAAAAATAAAATAATTAAAAATTGACTTTTCTAGTACTTAAATCTCTCCATTTAAAAATGGGATGATCTCTATTTCATTTATGAGACATTATTATTTTTTCAAATGAATATGTGATACAATTAGTATACCTTATCATATACTACATATATAAAAGAAAAAAACTATTTTTGGGTGCATCCACCAGCCTACTACGTATGTTACTTGGATCAAACAACCCACTAAACCACGGTGATCCAACTACTAGTGAAACATGTTGGACCGAATTTTAGAAATAAAGAACGAAAGTTTTATGTTGTAGTTCAAAGATGTAAAAGGTATTAAATGTTTTTTTGCAACTTTATTTATGTAATTGAACCAGTTTTGACCAGCAAAAACTGGTTAAATATTAGTCTCGATTGGTTTTCAACCATACCCGATTTTACCTCGGACTAAACTAACTAAAGCACTAGTCGGCAACCCACCAGTTTGACCATTGCTTTGGTTAGGTTTGATCCTATGCTTGATACACAGACCCCTTCTAAAGTCCATTTTAAATATAGAGTTTAGATAAAAAAATTTACTAGTAAAACATAATCAAAATTTACTCATCAATACTATTGATCACAACAATTACGGATATGGAAAAAAAAAAAATTTAAAAAACTTATGAAACATATTCATTTTACGTCTCACATTTTGTAGCTTTGGAGTAGCAACCAGTGTCTGACAAAATGAACAGGACTAAAAAACAGCCCAAGGGCTGGGTTTGAGTTCGAGTAACTAGTAAACCAAGCAGGTCCCGACCAGTAAAAACAATATTATAAAAAAAATCCAAAAAATTATGAAAAATATATTTAAAGCATAATTAAACAATCGTCATCCAAATGAACTTGAAAAATAGTAAAACAAATGGATTTAAAAAAATTAATTTGTCCCAGGGAGTATTTTAGAAATAAGTGAAAAATGAGTAAAAATATAAAAATAAGTATTCATGCCCAAAACACTTTCCAATCTTTATGAAAATGACAAAAAAATATTCAAGAACGCATTACAAACAAATCTTTTATTTTTTGAAGTTTTATATAATTGTTTTTTAAAAAAATACTCCGCTATACCACCTAAACCGGTCGAAACTTGATTGGCTAGTGCCCGGTGCTGGTTTGATCGGCCGGTTCCAAGTTGGATTGTCCTCTTAATTGAATGTAATTAATAATGTGTTTGATATGTCCAGCACGTTCTAAATTATGCCCTTGAGCGGCTTCTGGATTGACTAAGCTTGGACTTTGCCACATGTGAAAGCACTTCACATTCCCCACGTTCTCAAGTTGCTCACCACCCATATCTTGTTCCATTAGCTTTCCCAAAAGAACCATTCCCTCACTAACTCTCTCTCTCTTCCCCCTCTATTATCAGAATAGCCCAAAAAAGATA